TGATTTAGAGATTCACATGTAGATAAAGTGAGAGTCTATCCCTAAAATTATACCAATGTTAAACTTTGGATTTCTAGCCTTTTGTTTTCAGTTCATTTAGGAATATATAAAAAAGAAGCAGAATTTGCCAAAAGTAAATGTAAGCCAGAACAGCTCTTAAGAATCATTGCAAATGTAATGATTTAAAGTTAAGTAAAATACAGAGTATATGTAAGTGGGATTCTTTTTCCAGGCATTAATGTTTTATTTTATTACCATTTGTTGAAAAGGTTTTTCGCCAAGCAAGAGCAAATACTCCAGCAATAATATTCCTGGATGAGATTGATTCCATCTTGGGATCTCGGGCACTCTGCAGAACTGGCCATGGTGTCTCAGAGCGGGTTCTCTCTGTGCTTCTCAATGAGTTGGATGGGGTTGGGCTGAAAGTTACAGAAAGAAGAGGAGGCAAGCTACAGCTTGAGGCTCAGTGCCAAGAGCAAAGTGATGAGGAAAGAAAGGTATTTATGCTCCCTTTTCTGTACAGGAAGAATGAGAAGTGCTGTCCAGTTGTTTCAAAACTTTCAGTTGTTGGCATTCGCATTTTAATCTTCAAATCCTTGGACTTAAAAACATGCAAGAAGCTGTTTCACTCTGTCATCATTACTAGTTTTTAGAGGATACTGTACATAGGCTGCTGATTGTTTTTACATACACTGTTCCTCAGTGAGGCTTTGACCAAAATATCCACACAGGCATTACCAGTTGAGTGTTTATCTTCTGTCACAAAAATCCTTTTATTGACACTAAAGTAATTTTTAGATTGATTGTGCGATTTTTACTCTTAAACAAGTTCCTCCCTGAGCTTACTTTTTATAAGTACTTTCCCTACTTCATTTGCAGCTCTTTCTCATACATGATGCATACATAAGTAGCACAGTTATGATCAGTTAGTTATTTAAACACAAACTTGTACCTTCACTTGGCAGTGAATTATTCACAACATTTAATATTTAGCTTTTTTGTATATAAATTTTTTCTTATTGTGATACTCTCTGGGGGAATAATAAAGAAAACAGTTCCAGAATTGTAGGATACTGGATTTTTTGCATATAAAAAGTTCCTTGTTCCAATCTGGTCAAAGGAAAGTCTTTATTTGTTGCCAAGGCAGATACTAACTATATTTCTTCTTTGTCATGTAGTCTGCCCAGCACCGAGGCATTTTTTTTACCTCAAGAAAGATAAAATACTAATATTGAAGGGAAAGTAAATACATGTAGAATTACATTATCTTTTTGCCCTTCCTCTCTTCTCATCAGTAGTTAACTAGTATCTTTTGATAATATCTATCTCAACCATGTTGCACTAATTTGTTTACACGATCTCTTACTCAGCTGGAGTTTCAGGAAACTTTGAACAAGGATTTCATGGTAGTTGCTGCAACAAATAGACCAGATATGTTGGATGATGCCTTGCTCCGTCCTGGAAGGCTGGACAAGATGATTTATATTCCACCTCCAGATCTGAAGGTATTACACATCCATACATGGCTTTAAAGGGAGAGATATTAATTGCCAGCATACTTTAAGAGCAAAAGGGGCATATTCCTGTAACATATGTTACAAGTGATGGGTGTTTCACTGGAGATCAGTCACCAAATTCCAGGTACAAAGAAAAAATTTTAAACGTAATAAAGATACTTGTATTTTAAACACTAATAACATTTTAACTGGTGTAGGTAGTTATCATATTGCATGTGGAAAATAGAGAAAATGTATATTTACAAAATCAAGCTACAGTTCAGGAAATATCAAAATAAGTTGTCTGTCCTTGTTTCAAATAATTTTTGTGTACTGTTCCCAAGTCTAGTGTAGCTATTTGTCCTGAGCTTCACATAAAAAAGTTGTCCCAAAGCATGCCAAATCAGGCCTGTTCAGCCTAAAATACTGTGTTTTCATGAAGCAAGCAGTGTCTGTGGATAATAAACCTTAAATATATGAGACAACCAGAAGTGCATTATCTCCATTAATAGCATTTTATTCTTCCACCAAAACCAGGTAGTTTTGGTGCTTTTCTGGATTTTCCTTGGCTCTAATTTCAAGTTTGATACTGCTTTGGAGAAAGATTAATTTTTGCTTTGTTTGGTTTTGTTTTCTTGCATAATATGCACCAATTTACAGGGAAGACTTTCCATTTTGAAAATCTGCACTGAAAAAATTCCATTAGATACTGATGTGTCATTAGAAGATGTGGCAGTCCTAACAGACCTCTTTTCTGGAGCTGATATTGAAAACCTGTGCAAGGAGGTAAGAAATATTCCTGGCTCATCTTGAAATAAATTCTAAATAGCAACTTTGAATGAAAAAAGAGAGCTAACTCGTAGATGTTCCTGAGCCATCTGTAGTAGAGGTACTTTGCCAATTTGCATTGAAAATCCAAAGAAAATGGTTAAAACAGAAGAACTGAACAAGGGTTCATTCTTTAAATAAAAACTTATGGTAACCTTACTTGCATCTTTATCTCTTGTTAAATAACCGTAAGTTGTACCATGCTGTTTTCAGATGCTTTAACTAATGCTTTGTTCCTATTTTAGAGTACTTACAGTATTCTTTACAATTTAAAACGTGCTAAGGACTAAGTTGTTGGTTTTTTTTCTTTTAAAGGCTGCTTTGTTGGCATTGCAAGAGAATGGACTCGAAGCAACTGCTGTAAAACAGGAACATTTTGTGAAATCATTGCAGACTGTAAAGCCATCTTTAACCATAAAGGACTTGGAATTTTATGAAAAATTCTCTAATCAAGAATTAGCCTCTTGAATCTATAAAGGAGTGGCATAAGTATTTTTAAATATATTGCAAAGATTTTGAAAAGGTTTGCATCTTTCCTGCTTTTTAATACTGTACTTACTGTAGTTTTCAGGGAGTGTGAAATACAGTAAAGTGTCACTTTTGAAAAGTTCTGTAATTTAAATAATGAATAATAAATTAAAATCTTGTTTGCTTTGGGTAGGTTTACATCTGATGAAACAAGTAATTGAAATACTTAGATAAAACACTATGGAACAGCTTAGCATTACTGTAGATTTCCTATTTTTAATTACAAAAATGGCATAATAAGAAAATTTAAAATGTGTTGTGAAGTCTCCAAAAGACAGCAAATACAAAGGAAATAGAAAAGCTTTCAGGAAATTAAAGCCCACTCTATATAAAATGTCAGGTGTTTTATATGTGCCTGTCTAGGCTTACATTCTTAAAAGCAGATTCCAAAATACAGTGGCAGTGAAAGGGTTGCCAGTGCTTAACTCCTTGGTGTAGGTTTGGAAGTCAGGGGTTTTGGGAGTAATTTTGGATTAGTTACTGCTTACTGTACAACATTTGGATTGAGTAAGCAGATACCAAGCGTGTAATCAACTCAAACTATAATTTCTTCTTTAGAAAAGGGAGTTTGCATAATGACAATTTCCGCAGAATTACTTTCCCCACCCAGCCATTCCTTGTCAATACATTTTTGTGGGTTGCCTTCTAAAATACCCAGACACTTCTACGGAAATTGGTGTTACATGTATGTAAGTGTGCATTTTAACTTACTGGAGTAGGAAGGGTTTTATTATTTTTTATTACCTTTTCTTTTTCCCAGTGAAAATGCTTGGGAACAAAATACACCACTCTCAAAGACAGTTCCTTATTTCAGCTGAGGTTCAGAAATTATAAGCCTATTAACAATTATTTCTCTCTCATAACAGGCACACTAGGGACTGCACTGAGTGTGGTTTATAGTGAGATGGATCACAAAAGGAACTTCCAAGGCAGTTGGTGGCCGAGGAAGGCAAAAGGCAGTAGGAGAAGCTGTTGTAACCTAGGAAAGGGCTCAGTTACAAACAACTGCCCTACAGCTTGGCTTTCATCACCAATTTATAGAAAGGACCTTCCTGTAGCTTTATTGGTAGCAACAAATAGACAGTGCTCATAAATACACAGAGTTTTCTCAGCAGCAGTGCTGAGAAAAAGTATGAAAACTGTTTTGCTTTCCAGCGTTTGAGAGTTTCCATTGGAATTGCTGCATCTCAAAGTTGTTACAGTGAGATGCTGCCAGCTCTTCAAAGATGCTGCTGCTGAATTTCCACACTTGCTCCCTAGGAGGACCAGCTGAGCTGTTTGTGCCCGGTCATGTCATGCAGGGAATGAGCAGAACGTGCAGTGCAGGCAGCCTCTCCTTCCTCTCACTGCTTTCTAGTGGGCAAGAGAGAAGGGGAGAAACCAATGGATGGAGTCACCTGCTCTCACCTCCAGCCTGCCCCTGGTAGTTTTTCTCAGAGAGGGATTTTGGGAAGTGATAGGAGCTGTGAAACACAGGACAGTGATGAGAACCTGGGCCTGGGTTGAGCTTTGCTGCAGCGTGAGGGGACACGGTGACACCGGGCTCCTCTTTTGGTCACTATAGGCACCTCTTCGAGCTCGGAAGAGGCAGCTCTGTCATCACCGGGGCGTTTGCCTACATACCTGGAGAAGGGGACAGACAGGAGGACAAAGGAGAAGTGGAGAAGCCAGGGTGGGGTGCTGCAGGCAGGGAGAGAGAAGGGCTGGGGCGGGGAGGGCGCAGGCCGCGGCCCGTTCTGTCCCGCCCCCTCAGGGCCCGCTCTGTCCGGCCGCCGGGGGGCGCTGTCCCGCCCCCTCAGGGCCCGCTCTGTCCGGCCGCCGGGGGGCGCTGTCCCGCCCCCTCAGGGCCCGCTCTGTCCGGCCGCCGGGGGGCGCTGTCCCGCCCCCTCAGGGCCCGCTCTGTCCGGCCGCTGGGGGGCGCTGTCCCGCCCCCTCAGGGCCCGCTCTGTCCGGCCGCCGGGGGGCGCTGTCCGCCCCCTCAGGGCCCGCTCTGTCCGGCCGCCGGGGGGCGCTGTCCGCCCCCTCAGGGCCCGCTCTGTCCGGCCGCCGGGGGGCGCTGTCCGCCCCCTCAGGGCCCGCTCTGTCCGGCCGCCGGGGGGCGCTGTCCCGCCCCCTCAGGGCGCGGGGCTCAAAGAGCGCAGGGCGGGCCCTGCCGGCGCCTCCTGCCGCAGCCGGGGAGCGCCCAGAGCCGCCGCCGGAGCCGCTCCGCAGCCGCTGCCAGCATGAACAAGGGCATCTTGCACACGCTTAGAACGAAAAGAGAAGTGAGTTCGCCTGAGGGGTCCGGGCCGTGGTTACCCGCCCGCGGGGAGGGGATGCGGGGGGCTCGGGCGGCTGCACCGGGGTTGCCACTTGATTTCCCGAGGAAATGGGACTCGCCTAAAGTTCATGTGTTAAAAGTTAGGTGTGGAGAAGGGTAATACAGAGGTGAAAGTGAAATTCACGTATTAAAAGTGAAGTGGTGTAAAGAGTAATATAGAGGAAATATACAGGAACAGGTAATCCCTGCCTAGTTCTGTGTAACCCTTGCTCCCCTACTCGTGGGTCTGGGACATAAGATCAGCTCTTTTCTCTGTTTTATCTTTCAGCTCATCCCCCTGGCCGGAATATTGTCCTTCGCAGCAGCTGGGGCGTTCTCTTTTTGTATCTATTCCCTATTCTCCAAATCTGATGTGATGTAAGCAAAAACTTATTGCTTGGAGCTTACCCTAACTTGTTTTATTCAACCAAGTATTTGACTATCATGTTTTACACACAGAAAAAAAAATTGTGCCAGGCACATGTTCCAGAGTACTGGGAGTACTGATAATGACTAAAGTATCTGCAGATTGTAAATAGTGAGGAAATTAATTAATTTGGAGTGTAGTCCAAGTTATTTCCTAACTTTTGATTTAATAATTATGGGGGTTTTGCTTTAGGTATAAGAAGTTTTAAATGTTATAATTAAGAATGTCATATAATCACAGAGGTAGATGAGATGCACATATATTGCAACCAGGCTATTGACTTGTATATAAAGAACAGTGTTTGATTTCAATGGCTTGGCTGATAATTGGAGCCAAATCCTATACTCTTAAAGGTTTTGGGAGTATATTCATTTATTTTAAAGAGACTGGAATAGGCATTTTAACTGTTAGGGTAAAAGTCCCTTGTGTCTTTATTCAGTTTTGATTTTTCAGCTTGCTTCCCTCACAATGATATGTGAACAGTGCTGGTTTGCTTGGTGCTTTAGAAGCTGCAAATAAAACAAGCTATCATTGATTCCTATTCAGATTTTAAAATACAGTGCTCAAACCTGTAAACTTGTGTTTTAGGGAACTGCTTACTAAGGTGAATAGCTCTACTGACAATAGGCTGCTCATGTGAAAATGTGTTCAAGGACACACCTTAAAACATAATACCTGTTTTATCTTCTTTTAAAGCATTCACAAGATTGGCAGTTCAGAACCATGGGAAACTATTGATCCTGCCAAGCCTCAGAAGGTAATTTGTACATATAATATTTGTATAAATAGCATAAATTTCCAACACAATGAATCACTTTTTTCAATTTGTAAGAACTAGCAAAATATGAACAAGAGAACAAGTGTAAAGTTGATGTGTATCTAGTTAAAAGTGGAAACAAATGCTTCTTTAATTACTTTATGTCTTTACCCTATTAGCTAATGATAGGGATCTCTTACACTGTAGGTCTGATCTTAAATTCATACTGTACTTCTGGTTGTTGTCCTATGTCCATTCCCACCCCAAACATCCATTTACTCAATTCCATTGATAACAGTGGAAACTTGGAGTATAGAGGAAGTGCTGTTTACCCTTACCTTGTTCCTGAATTACAGAATTGAGTAAGAATGTTTGAGTACTGTAGCCTGAAGGAAAAAGATCTTAATTTATTAGAGCACTTAGGATAAGGAAAAGTAAAATTATTTGGTCTGATTACCTAATTAATATCCAAGTGATTTTTTTCAACAAATTATTGTGTCAGCTGTTGCATATTTCTGAAAGGAAAATGTAAATCCACTAGAACTTCTTCAGCAATAAGCTGATCTTTGATATGGGGAGGTGTGGGAGTCGAGTAAATGCTCACTGGGATTTTACTAACTTTCATATTTTCCATGTCTTCCAGCTGGTAACAATCACTCAGCAGTGGCAACCTATAAAAGAGCTGGAGGAGGTCAAAAAGCTGACGAAGTGAGAAGTTTCTGTTGCCCCACAAAGGTACCCTATGAATCTAGTGGAATCATTTCTGCACAAACTTGACTACTGAAATCAGTGTGCGGAAATGCTTCTGCTACATTTTTAGGGTCTCCCTACATTTTTTTGGCCTCTGGATGAGGAGTTTGATGTTGCTTTAGAAGCTGGCATACAGCATCCACATAGTCCAAAAATCTGAATCAAAATACTCATTTTCAATAAGCATTTGATGTAAATTTTTGAGTATTCAGATGGCAATTATGGATCAAAAAAGCCTTCATAGTTTTTGTAGCAGTTCAGGATTTGTTTCAAAATACATTCGTTTTGCCATTTTATTAATTTTTAATAAAATAAATTCTAAATTTGTACATTTCATGGAAATTCAAAAGCCTTTCTAAATTGGGAATCCTGGTCTCCTTTCAGAGATACAGAACTTTCTGTTCTGTATTTCAATGTTGTATAGAGAGAACAAAGTCATAGCCAGAGGATGTCTTTGTATGGCAGCATATGTGGTCACACAGTACATTTGCATTTCTTGTCTGTGTTAGATGTGGAGACAGATTAACAAAACTAATGTTGTGCTGCAAATCCTAAAACTTACCTGCTGAGGAGTCCAATAGGTTATTTAAGGGTGTATTTGAGACTGCAGATTTAGAACCTCAAAATCTAAGGGTTAAGCATGGCTAGAAGGAAAATGAAAATCAGGTAAATATTGTTCATGATTGAATTTTTTTGAAGTTACTAGAATTAGAAAATCTGCATCATCCAAAACTACAAAGTGTTAATTTCTTATTTTTGTGCAAGGTTGTTCAAGTGCAAGCTGCAATGTACTGCACAATTAACAATATTTTTAAAGATTTCTACATTCTATTAGGAATATCTCTTTTATCAAATAGAAACTGGCTGATTAACATTAGGAATGATTCTATGAAGAGACAGTTCTTCTTTAAGCTTCTGTGTGTTTGATTATGGGTTGGCCAGGGAAAGAATGGAATGGGCAGGGTCCCAGTAAAATCATGAGACAATAAGTGCATCCAATGGCAGAACAGTCCTTTTGTAGATATTTTCTGTATGTGCCCTCTTCCAAGCAGTTTCTCAATCTATTGCACAGTTTCTTTTACAATGGATGGTCAGAATTCATAATCCTTTCTGTGAGGAAGAAAGCAAAAGTGAAACAACTGCTAATTGGGAAAAGTCCCCTTAAATGAGTAATGGTCAAATGCTTTAGGTTATTCTGCAACAAAGACAAACTTCATTTAGAAAAGCTGTCTCCTGAATTCCAAGGTGGCTTGGCTTCAGAAGCTGTTTTCTTCAGCTGAGAAAAAAAATAATCTAAATGTTGCATAAATATTTGTTTATCTAGTAAGGATGACTCAGCAGCATTTCTGCTTTAGAGTGAGAGGAACTACTAGTCTTCAGAATAAGTCCTTAGCTTGTGTTTAAGGAATGACATTGCAAGAAGATTGAATATCATAGAACCACAAAAATACGGAGCTCTGAGGAATACAAGTTTTAAATGTTTTAAAACAGAAAATATATTAAAATCTTTTCTCTGTATTTCCATATTTCTACTGGACTGTAGCAAAAGCAAAGTGCCATGCTCCAAGTTGATGCATTAATTGTTTTTCAATAAGTCACTTTTTTTAGCTGCAAATACTATGACCTAAGTATCTGTCAACATTGGGAAAATAAGTGTAAGTAAATTGTAGTTAATTTTTGTATTTAGCCACATTTCAGTGATGTTTCCATTAGCACATTAAGCAGTGTGACTGCTGTCAGTCATAGGTTGTTGCTTATTTTATCGTGTCCTGAAGCATAACAGCTGTGCTAATAAATCTGTTTTCCTTTGTAAGCTGTTCTGTTTTTCTTTATTAATATGGATTTCTGGGGAGGGTTTTCACACAATCTAAGAAATCAAAAAAAAATTTTTGGCAGTTCAAAAAGATTTTGAATATTGTTAAAGCTCTTAGGGTTTTGTGTCTTAGAAGACTGTCCCAAAAATCTGTCTCCTGCATAGAGCATTTTTTTCTTATAAGTAGCATACACCAAGAGCAATTACTGTGTCTCCCCAGTCAGCTACTCAACATAAATCTATAAAGCAATGTACAAGTTATTTCCTTGTTCTACAAACAGTAAAGATCCAACGGCTGAATTTTATGAGCTGATGTTTACGAGAACAGTAAGGCTTCCCTGATCTGTGTCATGCAAACCCATGAGTTTTCTTTCCATGAACAATTTAGAGGCTATTGAAATAATTTAACCACTTTCTTATTTCTCTCTATTTCCTTTTCTGTCTTTAGTCTCCTGCTCCGTTCTGTTCTTGGTTTTGGTTTGGTTGATGTTGGTTTTTTTTAACAATCACTATCTTTGCTCACCCTAGCTAGTACATTTACATGGAACTATATCACTTCCAAATTTCATATTAATTATGAAGTTTAATAAAAATGGTCACTGGTTTGTTAGAGTTTCCAGTATAGGTTGGAAGCCATTAGAAATGTGTTTTAATAGTTCTAATCACTATTAGAAATCCATCATTAGAATCTATGGTCATGCTTCTCTAAATTTTTCTATGTAGTCTATATGTAAATAGTTTTCTGGAAGAACAGAAGAATAGAAGGCCGCCTTTTGCAGTGTATATACAATGACTTGATAATTTTTGTTATTACAGTAGTACTTCAATGCCGTAAATCTGCAGATGTTGTGGTGATGTGGCAATCAGAGTGTGTTGGGGCTGTTTCTTTGCATGTGATAGCCCCAGTATCAGCATTTCTCCTTCTGCCCCCCTGCATTCTCTGCCACAAGGTGCTATTGGTGTAGTTCTGCACTGTCTGGTTCCTTCAGTGGTGGCTTTCTGCAGAAAACAGTAACTTACAGAGCGGGCTGATGCAACTGCTGAAGGAAATGGTTCATCCTGCAGTTGTTGTCTGCCTTGGTGCAGAGGGTGGCTGTCCCTAGTACGAGCTGTGGAAAACAAACAAGAGTAATGGGAATGATTCACTGAATCCAGCCAATATTTGGTGTTGGACACTTGTGAAAAAGCTTTCAGGTTAAACAAACATGGCACAGTTTTCCTTTGCTGTCCGGCACATCCACATGCTGTACAGGAGCACACGGACAATGAAATCCCATAAAAAGTGTAACTGAAATAGAAATAAAAGCACTACAGCTGGCTTGGCCTGGGGCACTGGGCTTGGTGGGTGTTGCCCCTCAGGTGTAGATGTGAACAGGGAGCAGGCAGCTTGTGTGCCCAAAGCTCTCTCCATGGGGCGGCAGCCATGGCTGTAATGGCCCCTGGGAAGCCGTGAGCTGACGCCACATCCAAAGCACCTCGGCCTGTGCGCCTCGCCCTGGCCAAAGATCACACACCCTCACCAAGGTGTGCCAGCCCTGTTTATGCTGGACCTTGCCCAGCTGAACAAGGGGTTTAGTTCAATTAGCGTTTGCTTTTAGATAATTTTGTTGTGCATACGTTCTGGCCAGAGCCATTACTGGGGAGGTGTTGCCCTTCAGGGCTCACCCAGGATGTGGGAGAGCCCCTCACAGCACAGGGAGCCCAGGGCTGGAACAGATTTCACCCTAACAAGGGAGAGCTGTCCTGCAGCATCACCACGGTGCCTGTGTGGGGACTGAGGGCCATGTGAGAAGGTGTAAGAGTGGGGGTGGCAGAGCACTGGTTGGGAGCCCTAGAGACAGTTTGTCTGGGTACCAGGATACAGGCCAGTGCTGGCCTTCACTGCCAGCTTACTAAATTAGTTTAAATAAACCCTCATCTCTTACCAACAGGGGCATGGCAAAGGCTTTGGTTTGGTGTTGGTTTTCACATTTAAGATTTCCAAGGTTTGGCCTGGTGTGCCAGGCCGGCTCCGTGGCCTCTGTTCAGAGGGTGTGACACTGCACGGCTCTGTCCTTTATCTGATGCTGCTGCTGCACAAACAAGGAAGTAAATGCAGAAAGTCCTGATCCCTGGTAGTAACAGAAAAATCTTACCAGTTTTCCAAAGAAAAGCAGTCATCCACTGCTAATAAATCACCAATTCACTACATTAAAAGAAAGGGAAATGTGGGGGTTTTATTCAAGCTGTTAAAATTTCATTTAATGATGCATCTTTCCCTTCTGCTGTGACTTTTATAATTCAATGAAGCCTAAATTTTTTTTAAAGACTGTTAGCACTATGCTGCCCATGCTGTTTTATTAAAACATTATTAAATATGTAAGCATTATGCTGCCATTACTGTATTTAGTTTTCCTCTTGGCAAATGCTTTGAATGAAACATGCTATGGTCAGAAAAAATTAATTCATCTTCAAGCCTACAGTATCCACCTTACTCCCTAAAGCAGAAATGCACAGCACAATCCCAGTCACAATGACTTGCAGTTCTAGTCATTGCCTCATTGCCAAACTCTTGCCCATAATTTCCATGTTACAATAGCATGTTTTACAAAGTAGATGAAAAAATATCAGTTTGAAGTTAGGTGAATGTTTTATACTGATTTCAGGGAGGCATGGAATTAATACAGTAAAGTTTGTAGTGGTAGTATATATGTACTAGTATGTGTTTTTTAAAAATTCTCTCTCAAGAAAAATTAAAACGTTTAAGAACTGGGCATGTCTGTGCTCAAGTTCCTGTATTTTTATTAGTTCACAGAGGAGGCATTTCCACTACACAAAACAGGGTGTTACAGGGAAGTTGGTGTTTGAGGATTTACTGTTGAGAGTGTCACTTCTCAGCAGGTGTAAAGGGCACAGGTGTACACCCTCTGCAGTAAACAGAATTACCACCAAAGTCATAGGTGGATTCCCTCAATAAAGAACCAAAGTGTTTGACCTTCCTGTCTGCTTTTAGAAATCCCCACAGGTTGGCAGTGCCACAGGTATAACCTGCATTCCTTAAGGAACAGTACAGCACAGGGTATTGCTGTAGCTACAGTACATTGGTTGAAACAAAGTGTAATCAGTTACAAAAAGCAAAGCTAACTGAAGTTCTTTGTCTACTGGGCTTTTTTCTTCTTCACTAAACAAATGAAAGAGAGTATGGCAACCCAACAAAGAAGGGAGATGGGGGAAACTCCAATATTCTTTTTTCATACAGTAATGAAAGTCTTTGGTGTAGGCTAGACAGGTAAAATGTACCTTGTTTAGGAGAAAAGTGACTGTAAAACCATCAGATGTCTTAGTTGAACTGCACAACAGATGAATTTGCAGTCTGTAAAGGAAATTGGTATTGATTTATTTCTGACCACCACAGTTTGCTCCAGGTACAGTAGTATGTTCCATACTTGGTTGCATGGTAGTGGAATGGAGTCTAATGTTTCCCAGTTGCTATCTGCACTACCCACATGACCTGGCTTTATATTTTCTTCTCTCCTTCCTTTTTTTGTACACAAACACACCTTGTATCATAAACAAAAATATGAACTCTTAAAAAATAAGAAGAAAAATTTTAGAAAGCCATGCAAACAACCCTGCAGTATTAATACCTCTACTTAGCCATAGCAGGGGGTGGGCTGATTAGTAGGGTTTAATTTTGTTATTACTCCAACTCCATGAGCAGCTTCCTTCTAGCTCTGACAGCTAAAATTAGGAACTAGCTCTTCTCTTGATCCTCTCCTCAGAGCAATCTCAGATGTAGTAAGTCTGTGGAAGAAAAATATTCTGCTTTCATTGCTTCTTTACAAAGACAGTTAATAGAGTTATTGTAACGAGATATCCTGCATAGCTATTCACATCTAAAACATATCTTCATTTACAGCTAACTGCCCATGAACCTTTAACATTTGATAAGCAGAGAGTTACTGTCCTTTGATTTTTCTATTATATGACTTGAACTTTGCTCTGTGGCAAGTTGAGGAAGCTAGGTTGCTTGAAAACCATCCTCAATTATTCCATCTATGTTCTGTTTCAAGCAAATAGAAAGAAACCAGTGTGTAACTGGTTGGGCAATTTCTGTTTCCAGTTTAAGGTGTGTCTTTTCTGCAGTAGCTTAGAAAATACAGAATTGCTCAATAGCTTCAAGAAATGAAAGAAGACTTTACTGGAAGTATGTTGTGGTCTGAGTTCATCAGCCTCCCTGATCTGTATTTTCTCTCTCTGAAGTCTGTTCCACTAAATCCAAAACCACCACTGTACGAGCAATTACAGAATGTAAACACAACAATATTTGTCATTTATAATTGTACCTGCCTAGTTTGAAACAAAATCGTTTCCCTCAGTTTATGTTTTTGATTGAAAGTGTTCTCTGATTCTTCAGAAAAAAGCACAGTCAGGAATGTTTCAGATGGAAGAATCTGTTGTCCTGGAAACATGAATTCAGCACCCCAAAGAAGGAATAATTTTCATAGAAACAAAGGGCTTGCATGATAACTTACCTTGTTAAGTATTAGTATTAATTAATATAATCTAATTACATTTCAGATATCTGTAGCCTCAAATAATTTCTATTCATATGATTTTTTTTCCTTAGATGTTTGTACCTGGAGGAAAGCACTGGAGCTTGCATTCCATGTATTTACCCATATATGCCTTCAAGAGGTGTCTGAAGTCCTTCCCAGTAACTGATCAGGCAGTCTGTGCTAGGTTTGTGCTCTTCCTTATTGCATCCATTAAAAAGTTAAATCCCCCGTGGGGTTTTTTTAGGAAAAAATAAGAGGGTTTGGTGGGGGTTTATTTTAGGGGAGGGCGGGAGTGTTTTGGAGTTGTGTTGCTGTTTCCTTACTGACTAATAAGACGTGTAATAGAAAATATTCCCTTGGCAGCGGGAAGCGTCCGTGGCTCTGCTCAGCACACAGCTCTTGGTGAACGCCGGGAGCGCTGCGCCATCGCCTGGAAAAGCCTGGGAAGCTCCCGGTGAGGAG